AGGGCTCGGTCCCGCAGGCTGGAGCTCGCCGAGTGCCCGTCTGAAAAATCACCTAATCCGAGGATTTTGTAACTTTTCCACCTTGAAGCCGAACTCTCAGCTCTGGCCGTCATGCAGGTTCGGTCACCTGCGGAGAGGTGGCCATGTCCAGTGAAGGTGAAAGGCTTCCCTGCGTCACCTCAGCCGAAGGCAGCGGTAGGCCATCGCTGTCCTTGGGCTTTGCCATCCCCCACCGTGTACCTCCAGAGTGACTTCTTGTTAAACAAGCAAGGGAGACCATTGTTCGTAAAACTGCTTTGTAGCCTTGATCCTTCTGATTTCATCCCTGCCTGACACATTGTTTTGTTCTGCTTTGCCATAAAGGTGTCCTCCAGCTGCTGCAAGTTTTGCCACTGCAGAGGAATTCCAAGTCCAGCTGCTCACGCACAAGATTGGTGGACTTGAGCATCTTGGGTATGATTAATAAAGCTATAAATTATTTGAGACTGGCCTATTTAAAGGACGTTTCTTTTCTGAAGTCATGCCCCCACTGTGATGGTAAGTCCATTTTCCAGGGCTCTGTTATTAGAAGGGCCAGACGTTCTGTGCCAGAGCTCTGAGGCTTTTCCATCTTTTAGTTAAGAAAGAAATGCTGAATTTGGTGAACTTGTCAACATGTTAGTGAAGCCACTTGTTTGAGAGGAACCTGGGAGGCTTACCTACGGTATGCTGCTTCGGTAGTGAAGAACTGGGAAGGAGCATTGTTGGCTCCTGGAAAACAGATGGATTTAGTCCTGCTGTGACTTGTGTCCTACTGCTGGTTCCACTGGGAGTATGGCACAGATATCTCAGCTGCAGAAGTCAGATTTATATTCATGCTTAGCTATAAACTGTGTGTTGCCTGTGTACCTCCCACGGTGTGATCGCTTCCTCTCTTATTTCCTGTCCAAACTAAGAAAACAAGTTATTGCTGATATTTGGGAGCAAATGGTAAAACACATCTCTTAATTCTTCCTGCCAGCCTTCACTTCTCCATTTGTTCACAAATAGTGCTGTCTTTGTGATCACACTGGCTGTGCAGGCCAGCTGCAGTGCCTTTGGCCACAGCCTTTTCTCCTTGGTCTGGGCACTTAAGCTGTGTCTGAATCTTGTTGGTTTCTTTCCAGCCACACAGATTATATTCCCAGCTAAGCTATCATGACAATAGCAAATTCTCCCTTTCTGAGCTTGACAGCTCTCTTTAGACTTTTCTGATAGCCATTCAAAGCATTCAGAAGAGACTTTCCTCCTCTTGTGTTGTTCCGCTGTCTTCTGCCTTCCCCTTTCTTTCAAGTACAGACTCCCTGTCTTGCTGTCTACAGGTCCTACCCAGGATTGGAACGAATCTTGTGGGTACTATATGCCACCCTTAGAGGCAAGTGTGTGATGGAGGAATTCGCAGAAATATCCAATCCATGCCTTCCCAGACACATGCACTGTAACGAATTGGACACAACACTCTGTATTAAACTAAGCATCCTCTTGGGCAATCACTTCTCAAATTTACAGCATATCACCAGGACAGGGAGCAATCATCCTTGTCCTAGAACTGAAAACCATGGCAAACTCCTTTGTTGAGAATGCCCAAACAATTTTTGTAAATGAGCTGTACCAGTGATGAAGATGTACACCCTGAGCCTGGCAAACATCCCCAATCTGAGCATGAAGTGGAAGGGACCGGAACCTGGATCAAAACAAAAATCAGCCAACCATGCAGCTAAGAAGTTTCTCAGGATGCTAGAAGCATCAGTACTGTCCACCATAGAATCACAGAATTATAGAATCACTTAGGTTGGGAAAGACCTTTAAGATCATTGAGTCCAACCATTAACCTAACACTGTCAAGTCCACCACTAAACCATAGAATCATAGAATTGTTTAGGTTGGAAAGGACCTTTAAGATCATCAAGTCCAACCATAAACCTAGCACTGCCAAGTCTACCGCTAAACCATGTCCCCAAGCATAACATCTACACATCTTTTAAATACCTCCAGGGATGGTGACTCTACCACTTCCCTTGGCAGCCTGTTCCAGTGCTTGACAACCCTTTCGATGAAGAAATTTTTCCTAATGTCCAGTCTAAACCTCCCCTAGCACAACTTGAACCGTTCTCACCAATGGTCAATCTTCACTATTTTGGAAGAAAACTATCCTTTCCTGTTATTGCTGACCACAGAGTCACAGAATGATTCTGTTTGAAAGGGACCTCTCGAGGTCATCTGGTCCAACTCTCTGCTGAAGATGGGTCACCTACAGCCAATTGCCCAGGACTGTGTCCAGAGAACTCTCCAAGGAGGGAGACAGCACAACCTCTCTGGGCAACCTATGCCAGTGTTCAATCACCTTCACAGTTAAAAAGTGTTTCCTGATGTTCAGAGGGAACCGCCTGTGTTTCAGTTTGTGCCCATGGCCTCTGGTCCTGTCACTGGGCACCACTGAACACAGCCTGGCTCTTCATGTACCCTCCCTTCAAGTATTTATACACATGATAAGATCCTTCCCAAGACATCTCTTCTCGAGGCTAAACAGTCCCAGCTCTCTCAGCCTTTCCTCACAGGAGAGATGCTCCAGTCCTCTTATCATCTTTGTGGCCCTTTCCTAGACTCTCTCCAGTATGTCCGTGTCTCTCTTGTACTGATGCTGTTGAGATGTTGAGTCAGAGAGTCTTGAGGGACGCCAGCTCTCAGTACCTGCCTGTGTCACAGGCAGTTCACAGTGGGTGTTGGACGTAGACAGAGTTCCCAGTAGAAGTGTCCAAAGCTCACAAGGCTTCCTTCTCAAACCCATGCTGTCCACCTCTGCCTCCCTTTTGACAGCAGTTGGGCTGCCAGTTTGCCATAGCCGTTGCTTATCCCACTTTTCACCTTGTACTCTCACTATTAACATTTTTCGCTTTGTGCTCTCACTATCCACCTGCTTCTGTCCTGAGAGGGAGCTCTTCTCAGAGCGGCACACGTTCTCACAATTGCTGCATCAGTGTAATCACAGCCTCTTGCATTGGCAACCATTAGAATACCCATGAACTTTGTGATTAATCACCTCTTCCACTAACGGCCGTTCTTGAGACATCCCTCATCAGGTTAAGAAATGGAAGTTGTTGCACTTCCACTGCTCTCCGTTCTGTTGTAAATTTGGTTAGTTTGAACAGCTGGAGATACAGGTTGCAACTTCACATTTCTTGTCTTCTGCATGTAGCCTCAGGTTTCCTGTTTCACAGGCATTGAGCCCTGTCGCTCAACAGCCTGATCGAAACGTCTTGTCATACGCACTCTTTGCCTTGGCATGGAGGAAAGCAGATCAGAAACTTCTGCAGCCGAAGCGAGTGAAGAAATAATTTACACTTCTGTCAAATTCTCTCAGACTCCTCCACCAAGGGCCAAAGCTGCACGGGAAAAAAAAGGTAAGGAAGCTGGATGAGGTAGGTCAACAAAATATTTTATTTTGAGAGAAAGCGCGATCTACCAAAACCACTCTGAGCTGGCTGCTGATTTTGAGTGCCAGCTCACGGTGCTGTTGCTTTGGTTCTGAAATTACCACAAGTATTTTAATGTGATAAAAGCTGATAGGTCAGAGATCCAGCATTGTTCCCCTCCCTCTTTCCGTCAGACCCCTCTCGATGTCTACTCCTGGGCATTCAACCCAGGCATCTTTTTCTCTGAAAGAGGTTTGCAGTTTTAAAGTTGTCTGCTTGTTGGCAATAAGACATTGTCAGCAATAGTTCTTTGAAGGGCAGGTGAGATGCAAGTACAGATAAATTAGAGGCGTATGCTAATCAGAGATCAGAGACAGAGGAGGCATACAAGATCATCCAATCTCTCTCCTGCAGGTCTCTGCAGGATTCTTTTGTGATACATTTTTTCCTGTGTTTTCTCTGTTCTAGTTTTACATACCTCCCAGTGAGCCAATTTTCAGCTTTTGCCTTGAGACAGTTCTGCAGGGCATTTTACTATCAGGAAGATTTTCTTAGTGCATTCCGTAAATTTTCTCTTTCCTTATTTCCGTTCCATTCCCCCTGCTCAGGCCTTGCAAATGTCACACTGAGCAATTTCTCTGGCTGCTTAATTGAGAAATACCACCTTAGAAGAGTGAGATTTTACATTGGTGATCATTCTTTATAAGCGTCTCCTTCCTATGAGCTGATTGCTTTTCCTCTAAATGCCCATGTGCTTTAGACGAGTTGTGTTGCATTGGCTGCAACACTAATGGTTGACCTCAGCTTTTTTCAGAGCCATTACAGCAAAGGGGGCTCTCACTGTGGGATATGAGATTTCTATGCCCTGGTCAGAATAACTGCATACATCTGTGGTTGTTACTGCTGCCTGATCACTATGGGAACAAAGCCAGTACAGAAACCCCCAAGTTCCTATCTGGTAATCACACTCCATCTGCTTGGAAGGCAGTCTTGCTTTTGCATGTGTTTTCACCAGAAATGATGTTTTGTGTTGCATCAGAAAACACAGGGACATCCTTTCATTCCCTGCCATTTGTGTTCATTCCCACCCTGTTGAAGGTGGAGATTACCCAATGCCCTCTTGAGACGTTTGCAGTTTTCATTTTAATATTCCTCCTTGCCAAATTCCTTTGTGTACCCTCATCTTTGTGAGCTCAAGTCAGAGAGCCTAAAATAAGGAAGATGATCTTTGGATACACTTTCTGTGCATATTATTTGATTATTTCCCAGCTCTCTTCTGTGTGCAGGGAGTCCCTAAGGAGTGCAGTTTAAGTACCTTTCTTTAGAAGATCTTTATTTTCAACTCTGTCCCTTCCCTGCCTCCGTCTCTCTTTTGAGAGATGTGCTCTCAGGTATTTCATCTGTTTCCAAACGCACACCCTTGCTACCAAATCATCCCTGTGATGCAGAATCTCAGGTATATCACAGGTGTATAGATCAGTCCTCAGTCAGCCAACTGTTTTCGGCTCTCATGGATGCCTCAAAAATGAAGAGTTGCCCTGGCTGTTTTCTATTTGGCTTCCAGAAAGCCTTAGATATACCAGACTACCAGAACGTCAGTCCAGCAGTCACTTAAGACAGTGGTATGCCTGTAGTAACAGCGATCGCCAGGTCTGTGTCATGGCCAAGGACAGGATCCTCATTTCTCAAATCCTCCTCCCTGCCGTAGGTAGTCATGCTGCTCCCATACTGAGTAGGCAGGAGCTGAGGGGAGCTATTTGGGACACTGCAGTGACTTTCTTCAGGTTGTCCTAGAAGACTTGCATTAACAAATGCTAACAACTTTCAGTTTTTTACCTGAATCTAGACTCTCAAACCTAAAAATATTGGGTGACAATGCTTGCAGATGAATGCAGGGTATCA